GCAGTGTATGTTCTTGCTAAAATGCTCCCAAATGTAAGATTGTTATATCATAATAAAATATATCATAAAAGCCGATACAGTATGTATTGGTAGTGGTACACAATTATTACAAAAAGGTATGCAGTGTATGTTCTCGCTAAAATGCTCCCAAATGTAAGATTGTTATATCATAATAGTAGAATAAGTACCCCTTAGTTCTATAATACTTACAGTATAAATATTTGTTCAATTCTCCTGGTTGTTATCCCCTTATTCCCCAAACTTTACATATTGTTCCCTTATACTTACATGCAAGTACTTTATAGGTACACTATAATTACAGAAAATTACACTGTAAATTCCTCTTAATTACACAGTACTTTCAGGGCTGTAACCTAAAGCGTTACCTAACATTTTATGTTGCAAATGGGTTTTATTCTTTTTTTTATTTGGTTAATCACATAGTTGTAGTCACCTTCAATGTCATAAATAGCAGTTTTTTTTTCCGGAAATTGGACTTCTGATCCTTGGGTAATCCCTGAGGATACCCACCACCTATTTTGTAGGTCACAATAGCACTGTATGTTGCAGGATCCATAATCTACAGAACAAAAAGCACAAATTAATAAGTAAGGGCTGGTTGTCGAGAGGGGTTTAATGGCACAGATTTAATTGATGGTATTTTATAATCACCTTCACAAAAGTGTAACATAAATGCTTTCCCTCTTGATGTGCACTGATCCTGTAAAGGGCCTTTAAATGTTAATATATTAATATAACTCATTCATTCATTCATTCATTAATATTGACTTCTGAAACTACACTCAAACTAAAACATAGATAGCCAGACACATATTTTTACAATATTTTGCATTGAAAGTAGTAAATAATGATATCACTTCTATATTTTGATGTAAGATCTGCAATGCAATGATAAAGTTACCATAGCTAACACGCATAATTTACAAAAAAAATTCGGAGAAACTATACTGTCTAGCATACACAAATCTCTCATAAAGTAATTTATTTTCTTTTTCTTTTTTGTTGCTTTCATGACATCCTCATAGTTGGCTATAATGTTTGTTCCACCACAGTGATTTAACACACATATTCGTGATTCGGAGGCTGTGAATTGTCAAAACACCATTCAAACCCCATTCAAACTGCTTGCAACGGATGCGAAAAACGCAGAATTTTTTTTTATGACGCACGAAAGTTTCGGAGGCGGTGTGCAAGCGTGATTGACAACGTGAGGTCGTATTTATTTTTTTAACATGCGAAAATTTCGGACGCGAATTTCGGACTCAGTGTGCGTGCAATGGCCTTACATCTGCCTATAATGTGACAATGGAAACATATTTACCTTTCAAAAGGACGATATCGATGGAAAGAAAAGTTCTTCTGCACAGCTGCTTTTAGATCCTGTATGTTTACGCATAGGCCTACTAACTCCTTGAAATTAAATTTGTGCAGTTTTTAAGAAAATGAACAGTGTCATATAATCTGTCAATTAAGATATTATCCTAATTACACGTGTAACACTCCTACCGTTTTACACCTCCTCTTCGGCACACACTCACAGCATCATCGCACCCAGGGCCGAGTCCTGATTGGTCGATCGTTCACATGATCAGGTGATGGACATAACATGACGCTTTCAAATTGAACAACAAGGACAGCAAGAACGAAGTAACATAGTTAAAAAGGCACAGCTTTATTTGTGTTCTCATTTGTATGCATTGTTATTTAAAGTAGAATTGTAGCCATATTAGTTTTATTTTATTACATTGACAATCGATTAATAAACTTTCTAGACATTAATATTCAATTCATATTCAACAAAATCATTTTTACAGAATAACAAAATCACATTTAATAATGTCCAAAATACAACAAAACCAACTGAAAACAAAAAAAGAAGTCCTAGTTAAAGAGATTTGTTTATTAACTCTGATTACAGTGTGTGTGGCCTACTTATACTTGAGGGGATGACACACTGCACAGAAACACATTGCACACTATTATTGCTATTTGACTAAATAAATTACAACACTCTTAATTTAAAAAAAAAAAGAAAAAAAAGAAAAGAAGAATGGTGGGGGTAGGGTAGTATAATCTATGGGGTTAAATGTGCCAAAAATGAGTCGACTGCTTTGTGCTTTATACTACACATTTGTCCTTGTCAACAGTCATTGTCTAGTTGTTCGTAAAACTGGTATATGTTGATGCAACCCAGTCTCACGGCAGTTCGTGATATAGTCACGAAATGTAATCTATTGATTCGTGTTCATAGACACGAATTTCCCTTTTTTTTCGTGTCACTCAGCACGACTTTCAAGCCAATGTATTTCAATGGGATATATTTTTCGTGCCTGCAACACGTTTTTCTTTCGAGAGCACAGTATTGTTTTTTCTCAATTCTTATTCATTTTGCAAACTTGGGTACACTACCAACATTTAATCAGGAGGTTTTAATCCTTGTTTTTATTGCTTTATTTTCGCTAGGCTAAGTTACGCAACATGAATGATGATTCGTGTCCATGAGCGCAAATTTTTTTTTCTTTTTGTTCGTGTCACTCAGCACGACTTTCAATCCAATGTATTTCAATATGGGACATATTTTTCGTGCCTGTAGGCTACCATATTTTTCTCGAGAGCAGAGTATTGTTTTTTCTCAATTTTGCGAACTTTATGGGTAGCCCTACACTACCAACATTTAATCAGGAGATTTGAATCCTTGTTTTTATTGCTTTATATTCGCTAGGCTACGCAACATTAATCAAATGAAGATTCGTGTCCATGGGCACGAATTTCCTTCTTTTTTTCGTGTCACTCAGCACGACTTTCAATCCTATGTATTTCAATGGGACATATTTTTCGTGCCTAGCCTACACCACGGTTTTCTTTCGAGAGCACAGTATTTTTTTTTTCTCAATTCTTATTCATTTTGCAAACTTCAAGGGTAGCCTACACTAAGCCCTACCAACAATTAATAAGAAGATTTTAATCCTTGTTTTTATTGCTTTATATTCGGTGGGCTACGCAACATGAATCAAATGATGATTCGTGTCTAGGGGCACGAATTTCCTTCTTTTTTTCGTGTCACTCAGCACGACTTTCAATCCAATGTATTTCAATGGGACACACTTTTCGTGTCTGTACCACGTTTTTCTTTCGAGAGGATTTCCCCCCCTCAATTTTTATTAATTTTGCAAACTTCAAGGTATACACTGCCCTACCAACAATTAATAAGAATATTTTAATCCTTGTTTTTATTGCTTTATATTCGGTAGGCTACGCAACATGAATCAAATGATGATTCGTGTCCATGGGCACGAATTTCCTTCTTTTTTTCGTGTCAATCAGCACGACTTTCAATCCAATGTATTTCAATGGGACACACTTTTCGTATCTCCACCACGTTTTTCTTTCGATAGCGCAGTATTGTTTTTTCCCTCAATTTTTATTAACTTTGCAAACTTCAAGGGTAGCCTACACTAGTCCCTAACAACAATTAATAAGAAGATTTTAATCCTTGTTTTTATTGCTTTATATTCGGTGGGCTACGCAACATGAATCAAATGATGATTCGTGTCTAGGGGCACGAATTTCCTTCTTTTTTTCGTGTCACTCAGCACGACTTTCAATCCAATGTATTTCAATGGGACACACTTTTCGTGTCTGTACCACGTTTTTCTTTCAAGAGCACAGTAGGCTATTGTTTTTTCCTCACTTAATTATTTTGCCAACTTTAAGGGTTACATTACTCAAAATTTAATCAGGAGAGTTTAATCATTGTTTTATTGCTTTATAATCGGTAGGCTACTCAAATATTGTAAACAATCGTCAGTGCAATAATAGCTCAAATATAGGCCTATAATACATATAGTAACGTAAATATATTCTTCCTGAACGGGACTGCAGAGTTACGGCTAAATGTTGCCCTTTCTTTTCGGAGAAATACCGGTTTTCCATCGGTTTGGTGTGTTAAATCTAGCAGTAACTACATTTCCCACGAGCCTTATCGGCCGTTATGGTGAAGACGACAGAAAAAACTGAGGACCCTCCACCACCGATTGTCTTTTAATTATATCCTCATCTTTTTTCAACACAAACGCGAAAGTGTGCTTGATAATTCAACAATAGTATGTTATGGCCATCAGTTTTATTTGTTTCCAGCATTACCCATGATCATCAGCTTCCGTTGCTATGGAGACGGAGCCAGCCCGCTTGATTTCTCATTGCGCTCAAACCACTTTCCAGGTAAGTTGCGAGGCTCATAGAGCCATACGTAACGATCACGTTTTGCTTAAATGCTATAAAAATCTATGGCTTCTTTTGATGAAAATGTATTATTCACATGATTTACAGGGTAGGGCAACGAATTAAAGCCCGACGACTTAAAGGTTTCCTCAATATCAGAAAAAAACAAACTGTGAAATTAGGCTTGCTAAATGGCTAGCCAACTTCAACATAAGCTAACTCTATTTATCTAGATGATGTCATATTCTCTCGATCATCGTGGTTCACCCATAAGGTCACTGTAATGTGTCAGTAATAAAAATATTATCACTTTATCTAACGTTATACTGCACATAACGCTGCCTTTAAATCTGGGATGACGAACACCAGGCACATGTTACGCGCCTTTTAACAGTCGCACAGGAAATAGGAACAACGTGAATCTGTATTTATAAGAAAATGGGAATCACTCACTATTATTGTACACTTTTTAAATCTTAGATCAACATAACACTAAGTTAGATAATTAACATTTTCTGTTCTCCCTGCAGATCCTGTTAAACACACCACCTGTCCGAACTTATCCTGAACCTGATTCTTAAAACACAAAGGCACTTTTAAGAGCCAACCTCTATCTCTTTTATTTTCTATATCTAACATCCTTTCTGTTCTCAATATCTATATTTATTTCCATCTCTCTAATCTATATCTGTCTATCTCAGTCTTTATTTGTTGCTTGTTCTTTTCTCTCTGTCTGTCTTTGTCTACTAGTCTGTCTGTCTGTCTGTCTGTATCTGACTGCATTGCAATGGCCACCAAGCATAAACTTGATTCAAAGGATCCCCACTACCAAGAGGGGAGACGCATGGCTCTGGAGCTGAAACATGAACACATTCTAGCTGAAGCCAGGGTTAGAGTTTTTATACAGCTCAATAATAATTTTATTCTTGAACTTGACAAATTGAAGTAAAACCTGATGAGGAATGTGTAAGAAGGATGAGTGTAGAAGATTTTATACATGTATATTACATGATACATCCTAACATGCTCTGTGGTCTGTGTTAATGAGGGAATATAATAGAACTATAATACTATATGCATTTGGCAGATGCTTTTATCCAAAGCGACTTGCAGTGCATTTAAAGGGACAATCACCCCCATATCGATTATATTTTAGAAGAATGGACTCCCTCCAAGTTACAGAGACTTGGAGAATCTATTCCAAGGCTCATTTAAGCTGTTCAACACCTTACTAACACACTTTGTTGTGTTTTGCTTTCACTAGTTACCTGCCTTTTGGTTACAATACTTTTAACAACATCAGTCTTACAAGAAATATTCACTTCAATACACAGAGAGCAGCTGATCAGAGAAAACGTGTACGAGACCCTCCACACACCTTTAAAAGGGACTCTGTAGGACGTGGTAAGCCGAGGGGGAGGCGAGGAGGGCGACGCCAAGCCTCCGCTATAGGTTATATCTGAATTATTTGACATGTGTTCTAGGAATTTACTATGTCAATGTTGGACCAACTCAAATTAGAAAACTAATTGTTTATTGAGTGTTTAAAATATTCCAATATCTAAAAAGTAGATAAACCTTTCAGTGACACTATTGTAGGGACATTACCAAGTACTTATGTAATATGTCTGCAATATGTCTGATTTCATAAATTGTTCAGTATATAGGTTGAAAAGAAGACCATAAATGCAGTGTGATTTGTTCTTATTCTTCTATGTTTTGTTTTACAGCCACATACCCCACAGTTGAGTGCTCCCTGTCATCCAGTGTGGAGGTTCCATTTACTGCAACCTCAACAGAACTAAATCCTCAAGAGGAATTTGGTAATTCACAGTGATGAATTTATGCATTTATATATTTTTTTTAAAGTTTTTTTATTGTTCATTCTAATACTGATCAGTTGACTTTTAATTGTTCCTTATCTAAATTATCCCTTGCCGTTTTATTTCGTATTTTCTATACAGAAAAAAATATGGAGAGGCTCTCTGATATTTTGGCGTCATGTGCTTCTGCTGCTGAGCCTCAAAGAAGCTCTGCCTCATCATGGTCTTTTCGGCAGCAGAAAGCCTCAGAGCGCTGGAAAGAAGCAAGACCATACCACCTTAAATGCCTTATTTCAAAAGAGGCTGTTGGTCATCCCCTGTTATTAGGTTGGTTTTCATTAATATCAAACTTCAATTACCCAGGGTAGGTTTGCTGAGTGCCCTGCTTTATAGGCTAAGGTATGTCTTTTGGGCTGGGAGAAGACTTGGATGATGAAAATTCTTGCTGTGAAGTGACAGTGCTAAACACTGAGCCACACTACTATGCACATAAATATTAAATTGAGTGTACTGTACTTTATGAGTTATTCACCCTTGAAATAATGTATTATATTAGAATATTGTTTTACTTTCTCCCTAGGTGCAGAGAGTGTCTTCCTGAGGAGTGGTTCTGTGGGGACTGTGATGTATTGCATCACAAAAAACAGCCACTCCACAACAGGGAATGCGTGATTCGTGGGTTTTTTCAACCCATTCCTCCAACCTCATGCATCATTAAAGGGGAAGATGGATATTGCACCCATGAGCAAGGTACATTCTCATGAAAGCCCTAATTTTGCGTTTCAATGTATGTCTGCAGACAGTTACAGATAATCTAAATTATTGGTTTTCCTTCTTTTTGCCAGCTTGCATTTTGCCAACTGTGAAGGTGCCAGACTGCTCCTGTGGAGCCACAAACTTCACTGTGTTACCAGGCAAACCAGTGATTTTAATTACCATCAATGGTAAAAAATAATAATCAATATTTAGATTTTTTTTGTAGATTTGATGTTTTTCACACTAGTGTACGTATTAAGTATGTGGTAATTAAATGTGTATTTTATTATTATTTTTTTCTTGTTCCAAGGGCGTTTTGACTTGCATCAGCCACTATATGTATGTCAAACATGCCAGCAGCAGTGGACCCCTGACATGAAGGACCTCCTAAGAAGTGGATATTGGCCAGCCTCTGTCCAGAACTCCACACTTTATACACTGGACCTCCTAAGCTCCCTTCAGGAACTCAAGATCATTTCTCCGGGATTCTCCAGACAAGCCTTCGCAAAGCTGCTGGAGCATCGCACTAAGTGTGGAGGAAGAGTAAGTGTAAATGTTATTACAATATTATAACATTTCTCTCCAAAAGCAGACAATATCACAAATACTATTTCATTCTATATATTTTCCAGTCTGGACCTATCAACGGCGATGCACTGCAGCGCAGCTTCTTAGAGCTTTCATATGCATCATTTGAGGAAGACCAGCTCTGCTGTAGTGCTCCTTTCACCTGCCCAGCCTGCACGCCGGAAATGTTGGCTGTTTCAGCAGATGGAAACAGAAAGCTATATCGCTTTCGCCGAAACGGAAGGTGATCTTTCTTTCAGTCTTTTTATTGATTTATTTTCTTACTTTATATATTTCATGGATGGATTTTTTTATTTTTATTTCTTCCTCAGCTCTGATGATCCTGGCTTTTTTGAGGGGCTCTTTGTGGCTGAAGACAGTGCGGTGTCTAGATTTGTCGACACCATACAGAAAGCAGTGAGAAATGCAAGTTGACAAAATAGTTGTTACAATATTAACCATAACCCCCACTTCAATTACTTCTGCCTACCAACTACAAAATCAAATTGAGAGAATAAATGCCATATATTGAATGACACCATTGCTTTTATTTGATTTGTCATGTTTGTTTTGTGTGTCATAGACACAGGGAAGAGGCACACGTGGGGACTCCCAGTGGACAGCAGCGAGGGAAATTTCAAGGAGGGCTTCAAAATTGGATGAAGAGGGGATGGAAGTTGCTGTGTGCCGCCATGGATTCCTTCTGAAAGCCCTTAATATGTACAGGGGGGAGATATTTGCCGAAGGACCTCATGCCAGCCAAGGCACAATTCTTCGCGATGGACGTGGCTTGCAAATATTGGCCATACTTGGAGAAAGCTGCTAGTGTTCTTCCTGCTCTTCAGGAGCTGACCACTATGAAACCCTTTCTCAGTGTGATGCATGCTCGAGCCCATGCTACTAAGTGTGAGGTGTGTATAGTATTTTGGCATCATATGTACATTTGTAGGATTTACAAGCACATTAATAATATGAAATTGAAGTTAAGCTACACTATAGCTTGTCTTTTTGCATAACCAATTCTTGCACAGCAACATGACATCATGACTTTGCGTAAACATACATTCCACTTTCAAGTCAAGTGGCGTGTTATCTATACGCATTTTGAGCTATCCGCGTGAATGTCCACGCCGAAACGAACCGTCATCTTTTGCGTGTATGTCTACACCGTTAAATTTCCAAGTGATTCCGCGTGTATGTGTACACCGTTAAATGTCCGAGCCTTTAAAGGTGAACTAAGTAACTTTTTTACCTTAACCGAACAGCTTTGGAGTCATTGTAATGTTTATATTACTGATTTCGTGTTGAATGGTGGTCGTCTCGCACCCCCCTGGTGCCTGTGAGCCGCAAAACCACCCTTGCAACTTTGGGCCGGCGGGCCGCCATCCATCCAGTATCCGGCTAGCTATAAGAAAAAGGTAACGCTAGATATTGAATTCTTCAAGTTTTCGTAATGGCTGATGTAAAAAAGAAGAAGAAAGCTCGGAAATCTTTGTCAGTGGACCAAAGAGGAAACGGGAGACTGACCACAGTTATTATGAAATTTCAAACCAAACGTTATGAACTAATAAATTATAGCCTTACCATAGTACACGTATTCTTGAAAAATAAATAAACAAACTAGGCTACGTGTTTGACTTTGTTTGGTCAATCGGTATGATGGACAACTCGGATCACCGGCAAAATTAAAAAAGAATGTAACGTAACATTTATTTTGATAATGCATAATCTAAGTAGCTATAGCTGTAGGCTAAACTAAAAATAAATAAATAGCTGAAATATTTCTTATAGTATTGTTTTTCGCCATAATGTTACTGATTACGTTTGGCAACACTATAAAAATATACACTATCTCCACTATACAAATATACAATAACATTTATATGATATTGTTCTGAGAATCATACATACCTCAGTGGACATGGCTCCGTTAGTTCGCCGGCTTCTCTGAAAACAAATGCACATGGCCTGAGCGAGATGGGAGGGGGGAGAGTTGACAACGAGTTTAAGACAGTTTTCTCATATATATATATACTCCGAAACTGTAGGGGGAGCTCGAGAGAGAAACCTGCGAGAAAACAGCTAAGAAATTGCCAGTCTTACTGAGCGCTGCTTTAAATGTCCGAGCGAAATGAAGCAAAATGTATATCTACATCTGGGGAGCGATATTTTTTTCCATAGGATGGTAGGGGTAGAGTCATAAATGGTATTACCCCAGTGATGGGTAGGTTTAGGGACGGGGTTGGGGTAGGTGATATACACTCACCGGCCACTTTATTAGGTACCCCATGCTAGTAACGGGTTGGACCCCCTTTTGCCTTCAGAACTGCCTCAATTCTTCGTGGCATAGATTCAACAAGGTGCTGGAAGCATTCCTCAGGGAGTTTGGTCCATATTGACATGATGGCATCACACAGTTGCCGCAGATTTGTCGGCTGCACATCCATGATGCGAATCTCCCGTTCCACCACATCCCAAAGATGCTCTATTGGGTTGAGATCTGGTGACTGTGGAGGCCATTTTAGTACAGTGAACTCATTGTCATGTTCAAGAAACCAATTTGAAATGATTAGAGCTTTGTGACATGGTGGAAGTAGCCATCAGAGGATGGGTACATGGTGGCCATAAAGGGATGGACATGGTCAGAAACAATGCTCAGGTAGGCCGTGGCATTTAAACGATGCCCAATTGGCACTAAGGGGCCTAAAGTGTGCCAGGAAAACATCCCCCACACCATTACCCCACCACCACCAGCCTGCACAGTGGTAACAAGGCATGATGGTTCCATGTTCTCATTCTGTTTACGCCAAATTCTGACTCTAACATCTGAATGTCTCAACAGAAATCGAGACTCATCAGACCAGGCAACATTTTTCCAGTCTTCAACTGTTCAATTTTGGTGAGCTCTTGCAAATTGTAGCCTCTTTTTCCTATTTGTAGTGGAGATGAGTGGTACCCGGTGGAGTCTTCTGCTGTTGTAGCCCATCCGCCTCAAGGTTGTGCGTGTTGTGGCTTCACAAATGCTTTGCTGCATACCTTGGTTGTAACGAGTGGTTATTTCAGTCACTGTTGCCCTTCTATCAGCTCGAACCAGTCTGGCCATTCTCCTCTGACCTCTGGCATCAACAAGGCATTTCCGCCCACAGAACTGCCGCTCACTGGAAGTTTTTTCTTTTTCGGACCATTCTCTGTAAACCCTAGAGATGGTTGTGCGTGAAAATCCCAGTAGATTAGCAGTTTCTGAAATACTCAGACCAGCCCTTCTGGCACCAACAATCATGCCACGTTCAAAGTCACTCAAATCAACTTTCTTCCCCATACTGATGCTCGGTTTGAACTGCAGGAGATTGTCTTGACCATGTCTACATGCCTAAATGCACTGAGTTGCCGCCATGTGATTGGCTGCTTAGAAATTAAGTGTTAACGAGCAGTTGGACAGGTGTATCTAATAAAGTGGCCGGTGAGTGTATGTATATATATATATATATATATATATATAGTAATGTAGGGTTAAGTCGTTGATAAACACGCTGAAAAGCGATTATGCGTGTTGATAGCATGCCAAAAATGGAAATATGAATTGGCGTGTCATACATACGCCATTTCATGAGATCAGTCTGGGCACAGATTGGAATGCCCTTTGATGCAAATTGTTGTTTGTGATATTGGGCTATATAAATAAAATTTAATTGAATTTCTTCCACCCTTTATTAACAGATTAAATGTAGTGGCAGGAACCAGGAAGGAGCAGGGACAACCGCTGGTGAGGAGGTGGAGCAAGTGAACAGCTACCTCTCACGTTGTGCCCTGACGACCAAATACATGTCCAAAGCAGGTGATCAGAGTGTTTGCAGTATTCTTGTATACTTTTTTTAGATTGATCATCATAACCTCATTATTTGCTTTCAACAGCACGGGTGGACATGCTTACATTGCATGCAATGGGTTGGAACGAGAAAAAAAATCTCTCTTTACATCAGGCACTTTCCACAAGATATGTGAAGGTAAGTCTCCTATTAATTGTTTTGTGTGTCCTTTTGTTGTGTTAACTTGGCCTGTTGTTAATCATACAAAGTTTTAATCCTGATTATTGTATAACACTGTTCATCAGACTTGTCAGAGACTCCAGGATGAGACTGCAAGGCTAGCTGACCTAAAAACAGAGCTACATTGCACAGATGAAGTGGTGTCACAGTGGCTATCTGATGTGAAGGAATGGGCAGCTGGTGGTAAGAATGACCAGATAAAAGAAACAACAAACATCCTTTCCCACTATCAAAATTTTAAGTTTGATATTAAAGAGCAGCAAAAAAATATTAGGCTGATGATCTATGGATTACAATACAGTTGGTGACATCACCTGCCACCGAAGACCAGCCAACTATGTGTCAACATCTAATGTGATGCCACATTTATGTCAGGTTTATTACTATTTTCCAGTTTCCCTGCAGGAAGTGCACATACCAAGTTTAATTAAGTTGGATTAAAAGGTTTTACATACAAATTCAAACAGAGAAACGGTTCTGTGTTGTTTTAACAGTGATTTTGCTTTCACTATTTCTTCTACAGAGACAACTGATACAACTCATGCCAGTCAAGGCACCACACACAGAGGACTTCAGCAATCAATTGACGGGCTCTACCTTAGTGTGAGGCAGCGGAAGCGAACCCTCTACCGTCAGAATGGTATAACTATAAAATATGATAGGTTGACAAATTCAAGCTACTGTATGCATCCTACTCCACCAACATGGAATTAGCAAATAATGTAGTAGCACAGTTCAGCTCAATCATTTAATTCTGTTCTTTAAATGACCAGTCTGTAGAATTTAGTGGTATCTCTCAGTGATGTTTGACGATTGCAACCAGCTCCCCTCACCTCTATCTTTTATCTATTTAGATAAAAAACTGCCCATTCTAAAGTAATTAATGCACAATTATTATTTTCAGGCGATCATGAAAAGTAAGTGTGTGTGTGTGTGTGTGTGTGTGTGTGTGTGCGTGTGTGTTATTCCTGCCAATAGATTCCCCCCAAAATGTTAAACACTGGACCTTTGTTACCCATTTCAGTCTACATTATAATTTTCACATACTACAAAAACTACAGCTTTGCTTTTCACAATTTTTTTTTCTTGCCTCACACCTCTGCCCCTATACTTCATGTCTTTCTAGAGAGCAGCAAGTTTTCCCATCGCCTTCGAAGGAAGCTGGCAGAAGACAAATAGCTCCTTCTTCAGGAGATAAATAAATACAATGATCTTGTACTAGACACAGCAACAAACATTGACGTAGCTGTGGTGGAGCATTCCCTAACTGGAGAGAGGACTGTGTCTCAAATATGGCCGTGGGAGGTTCATGGCAGTGGTATGTCTGTTTTCAGATGCTACAAAGGAATTTATTTACAGTTCTGCTAGAGTATACTGAGTTCAGTATATTACTGAACTAAGGCATGCATGTTACATATTGAGTGTTGTAATATTCATTTAGTTTAATGGTGTATTCTCAGTTTTCTTATGTATCAATTTGATCAAAAAAGTAAATGTTTGTAGTTATTATGCAAGATTGTCTCATGTGTACATATAACTGTAATTGATTCTTAGCAAACATTTCAATCAAGAAACAAGTGCATGACCAAGTGATGTTAACAATGCGACTGCATGAGGAAACAAGTGTTTTGGTGTTGGAGATGGCACAACACTGCACATGGTTGCAGAGCCTGGCAATGGTTCTCAAAAACAAGTTGGGTGAGGAGGGTAAGTTAAATTAAAACCCTGTCCATCTAATGTGAAAAAAAAAAAAACACTCATCAATCTCAGTCACAGAACTTGGATGGAGTAGATTGGTTATTGCTTTGCCGTAGCCATTTGGCATGTACATAAAATAGGGATTCAACTTGTTACTGTAGCTATTGTAACAAGTCAGTAAGACTATAAAGATTCACATTTGCTTGAAAGATGTGCAGATTTGTTGTACTATGGCTGTTACTTGAAACATTGGACTTTGTGTCCTGATATGTTACATGGGGTTAGCATAACATCAATATTATTATCTCCTCCAGTCAACATAGAAAACCTTGCTGGTCAGCAAGTAACAATGCGTTAATTCAGCACAACTGTAGTGAAGAAAGCTGTTTTAAGTTAACAGTTATCAAACATGGGCACAAAACTTTGGGCCTTCCTCCATAAAGTCACCTCAGTGACCCGTCATGTTGCCTCAAGTCGTTTTATACAGAAGCAAGCCTGGTCCCATGTCAGCGATACACATAAAAATGCCAACCATCCTGCTTGTAGATTTGAATAGGGGATATCTTTTTACTCCATTTAAGTTCTTTGGTCTAATGAAACAATCTTAGTATAGTTTGTCTTTAATGTAATCTCTTTTGTATTTTGAGACGTAGACAAGGGAAATGAGGGACTTTGCTGTCTCTTAAGAAGAAGACTATCAGAGGTGTCAGAAAGGTTCCAAGTGGTCCTCCAACAGTACAAGACTGCTTTAGGTCCTGAGCCCTCTGTCCTTCTACATGTTGAAGAGGAATGTCAAAGTGGCCTCAGTAGTCCAGACACCAGTGAGGATGAAGAGGAAAACACAATTTAGGTCATTTATTCATTAATATGTACATTTGTCTGTTTTTGGAATAACCCCCTGTTACTGTTTATAATAATTTGTTTTGTGTATTTCATTAATGCTTTACACACCTTATTTGTTCTAAAACAGCTGAAATTCACCCTCTTATTCTAATTCTTGCTTTTTTGTTTTTCTGTATTTCTCCAGATGGAAGCTGCACGAAGGACTGCGTTGAAGGAAATGGACTTGCCCTATAGACCTTACGCACCAGAGAAACGAGGGCGCCGCCATCTTTAGAATATTGTCTTTGAACTTCCGTTTATGCGGTCGCTCTGTATATTTCTATGGCATCAACTTGGCATGTATGATATTACCAGATGTAATTACTGGGCTCACATGATATTTGGGTAGTGAATTCATACCCTTTTAAGAGAGACTCCCCTTGATTGTGGTGACCCTGTGACATTTCCTCTTGCACCAACGTCAGGCCAAACTTTTGACTTGCATGCAACAAATGTTATGAACCGATTTTTGTAATTTGCTGAGCAATGAATCATGTCATTTTTGTTGACCTCATGACGTTCCCTGTAGCACAACCATTAGACCAGAATGTAAAATTTGATTTGGTCTAATTGGGCAGATTCCCATGAAATCTTGTAAGCACATGATGACTTTGGTGACCTCATGACCATTCCTCTATCATCACGTTTAGGCCATAATTTAAAAACTCGTTCTTGATCACTTGCATTTTTTATGTTGTGATTATACTTTATATTGTATATTATTACAGTTGACAGATGACTTGATTCTCTGTTCTGCTGGAGCTTTTCAAGTGAACTTATCCTCACAGTCCAGTGTTTTTAAATACAGCCGTATGGCTTGTTTGACAAATATGCATTTGGTGTATTTTCAGTGGTATTGTTGAGAAAGACAAGAAATAAAATATTTCCAAAGATTACTTTTTCCTACATTGTTATTGAAAAACAATATTTGATATTTTTATGGTTGATAAAAGCCAATAGCTGGATAAAACTTATAACTTAAATAACTTATTTATATGTGGAATCTTGTTTAATTTAACATCCCACTGTATCATTAATTCATTACTTTAATGCATGTCTTTTTTTCTTATTTTCAAACAACCAAGCTTGCTTGTAAATAAACAAGTAATATCTAGTATATGTAAGGTGTATATACATGTTACATTTTCCTCGATTGCTGAAACTATAACTATGGTTTTGAACTAAAATTTCAAAACCATAACACCGTTTATAAAAAAGCACATACTTTTCCCCAAACTATAAACACTATTGCTCAGTTTTGACACATGCAAAACTTTACACACATATCCCTACATTTTTCATTGCCTACATTGTTGTAATTTAGTATAGCATTCAGCACAGCTTCAGCTCAATTAGCACACAATCACCCAGGAGGGTTAGGGTTAACCCTAACCCAGGAGGAAACACAAAGAGTCAAAACTGATCACACAGCAATCGCAACCTTCAATAGATCGATGGAAGGGATAAGACGAGAGGTGGAGGAGAAAGGGGAAGGGGAAAGAGACAAGCAGTCTCAGATGAGATTTGTGCCACTTTAGACCATGTTCTTGTCCATGGTATGACTATGAGGGAGGCTGGGCGACGAGTACGGCCAAACTGGAGTCGCTTCACCGTCACCTCGATCATAAGAACCTTCAGGGAGGAAAACAGGTACAGTAGGTGTACTTCAGACTGCTGTAGGATTGAAAATAATCCAAGACATTTGAAATGAACATTACAGTGTTCCACCCTTTCTTTCAACCACAAGGACCATTTGGAGTTCCCAAAGGCATAGAGGAGTTACATGCTGGGTCTGATAGTGATCAAGGCCTGTAGGCCAAGATGTTTGTACTTTGGGGGTCTATGAATTGTCACACCTTTAGAACAATGGGGGAAGTGTAATTATCTGATTGGTCAGTTTGAATGTCTCACATTTGGGTTTTAGTCACATGGTCAGGGAAAGGATAAAAGAAGACTGTAACTGTTGCTCTGTCTCTTTTAATGCTCTGCTCTTTTTATACCCGTAGTAATGATGTGTGCTTTACACTTGTTAAAAGGCTTGTTTAATCTGAAACAGAACAGATAAATAAAAAATTATTGAGTTTATTAAAGTAAATAAATAATGAATGCATTAATTCATTAAGCAGAAGAACAGAAAAATACATACCATACTGGACAGGGCTCCCAGTCAACCAACATTTCTGCTTTGCCCTATCAAGAAACAAATTTAATTCTTAGCATAAGGCTATTATGTCTGGTTAGGCATTGAGTTTAATTGATCCAATGGGTCATTATTTTCAGTAGACACTTCTTCCTAAACTGTAATTCTTCTTCCTAAACTGTAATTCTTCTTCCTAAACTGTAATTCAAAAAGACTAAACACATAAAAATTATGTACCTAACAATTATGGTATGAATATGCACAGGTGATACTCGAAAAATTTGAATATTGTGGAAAAGTTATTATTTTGATGATTATGGCTTACAGCTTATGAAAACCCCAAATTAAAAATCTCAGAAAAATAGAATATTACATACAATCAATAAAAAAGAAGGATTTTAAATACAGAAATGTTAGCCCTCTGAAAAGTATAATCATGCATATGTATATATTTCTATATACTATATATATACCTTTTAATTTGAATTACTGAAATAAGTGAAATTTTGCATGATATTCAATTTTTTTTAAGTTTCACCTGTATTTGTCAACACACAAGGAAGTTTCTAAATCCTATATTGCACTCTGCATACCGCCTACACTCTGCAGTTCCTTTATGACTGTCTAACCTTTCTCACTCTTTCTTTTACAACACTCCTGATGGGGAAAGCCTCTAGGCGAGTGTGGTAGGAGCAATCTGTGAAGATCAAAAACACGTTTCAAATATTTCTTAGATAGTTAGATTAGGAACAAAATAAACACAACTATGAAGATTTAAGTAGCGACCAGACTTGCAAGGATGACAAGTGATGTTTATCACTAATTAAAAAAAATGTATAATGGAACCAACTTACTCTCAGTTCCAATGTGGCATGCTTGCTTGAATAACCATACTACTGCAAAGCCAACGCTCACAACTGAGAATACTCCACTGCTGCTGCTTCCACTACTTGACTACATTTTGGTCAAATTAGACTAACTAAGCCTGTTGGATTTATAGGTTGTCAATTGTACTAATCTCAATAATATTAATCACTTCCTATTCTATATCTATTATGAATAATCATGGTCATGTGTGCTACACTGGACTAGCTGGACTGGTCACGACATTTACATATTGTTGCCCTGTTTTATTTGTAAGTCGCTTTGGATAAAAGCGTTTGCTAAATGATTAAATAAATAAATAAAATTGTGACTAATTGTCTGTTGTAATTGGTTAAAAAATAAGCAATTGAACTATAGCAAATAAACAGGGGTAAAAGTTGTAATGCATAGCAAAAGTATAAATCATTGCATTTACATGCACTTACTCTTTTGTGGCCTTTTTCTTTCAGGCATATGCCTTGGTCCCCCTGTGGGATATAAGATTACAGTCCAGTCATATATCCACTCAGAAAAAACAACATTTACAATAATTAGACAAAATGCACTTTGTAAGGTCTTTTCAACATAAATATGTGTCCCTGGTGTGTCTAGAGACCCCTGAAATATGAGAAAAGACCACCCTCTCTTTCAGTTAATATGTGTGCAAACACGCTGTTTATATTTGCCTCCACATTTCACATCACGTGCAGGCTCATTAGAATAGTAATCATAGGCTTATAGAATACTCCATCTAAAACGACTCATTTCAGACAGGGTCTGCATAAAGGACCAGTTTAAGATAAATAAGGATTTTAAGGATCATGCAAAGCTACTCTAGTGGAGTATCAGAATAAAAATATAGAACTGGAAATTAGCATAATAGGTCCCCTTTAAATTATATTTTATTTATTTATTTACTTAAGAGAATCTGCTTGACTAATGAGGTATGGTAACAGTTGTCAGAACCACCAATGCCCTACAAACATTTTTTACATACCAGACTTTTTCCTTTTGCCCCTGGCTGACCCTGTGAAAACAGCTGTGGGTTTGGAGAAAGAAAATTACTCATATAACAAATAAATCTTTAACTTATTATTTAAATTACTGGAAGATCACAACATCGCACAAGTGTGGCAGTACATGTATTAATTAGGGCTGTCAAATGATTAATCACGATTAATCACATACAAAATAAAAGTTTGTGTTTACATAATATATGTGGGTTTATAGGTTGTCAATTGTACTAATCTCAATAATATTAATCACTTCCTATTCTATATCTATTATGAATAATCATGGTCATGTGTGCTACACTGGACTAGCTGGACTGGTCACGACATTTACATATTGTTGCCCTGTTTTATTTGTAAGTCGCTTTGGATAAAAGCATTTGCTAAATGATTAAATTAAATAAATAAAATTGTGACTAATTGTCTGTTGTAATTGGTTAAAAAATAAGCAATTGAACTATAGCAAATAAACAGGGGTAAAAGTTGTAATGTATAGCAAAAGTATTTTTGTTTCTGTAAAATAAATCATTCACATTTCTCACTTAAGTTACCACTTAGTTATAATTGTAATAATGTTAACAAACATGACACAAAACTATGAGCATTAATTATTTTGTAAACTTGCTAGATCAATAAAGACTTTTATTTTGACAGATTTGGGTGACGTGGCAGGGGGTGCTTTTGCGTCTACTACACCACGCTCAATTAAATAAACTTAGCGAAAGGACAGCAAGATGACGACTGCACACTAACAGGACGACAGTTCAGATGACTAAACAGGACGACAGTTAACATGACTGAACAGGACGACAGTTAACATGACTAAACAGGACGACAGTTAACATGACTGAACAGGACGACAGTTAACATGACTGAACAGGACGACAGTTAACATGACTGAACAGGACGACAGTTAACATGACTGAACAGGACGACAGTTCCCTTTCGAACGGTCATTTCGTATTGCGTAGCTATACGCAGTGGGGAAACTCCTTTTCCTCGATTTACTGAAGCCTATATGTAAAACGCATTTGCAGCTGCACAGCTAGCACACTGAGCGTCTGACACGCTCATAGGCTGTGCTGCAGCAACTGCACATCCAATGGCGCGGGCGAATCTGACGTACGACCAATGAGCTAGCCCAACGTCAGAGCCCGTCGAGGGGGTGTGGCCCAGCCTATATAGACCCCCGAATTCGCCATTATAGCAGATTTTACTCCTTCACCGACAGTACACATGTCCCTGAGCTTTTTACTGTGTATTCGCCGTCGAACAAGCCTTTCAGCCTGAGCGAGCTTCTCTTCAGCAGACTTCGCCTGCACGTCGATTGTCTCCTGACGCCGTCTCCAGAGCCGGTCCTAGAACTTTGGGGGCCCTAAGCAAAATTTGGTTGGAGGCCCCTTTGACCGTTTTAAGTAAGGCCTAAAGAAAAGAAATGACTACCATATAAAACTACACCATACTATACAGCTATATTATATCTACTGTGTTTGATGTCTAACAGGAAAATTATGATACTACTGAGCTGAATGGCAGTGCAAGACCGAACAAACACTGATGAACTTACTTAATAAAAAGACTGATAAAGTGATTTTCATTGACCAAATATAATTTTTTAATTGACACCAGAGTTTAAGAGGCACACAAACTACAGCATATATAATTTAAATTAAATAGAACAAATAGAATAACTTTTAAATAAAATATTATATAAAATAATAAATAGAACATTTAAAATGTTTGAATTTTCAAATAAAATAAATTAACAATAACATCTAAAACACCACAAAGAAGATCAATAGTAACAATAACAAGAATAAGGTAACATTTCAATAGAACTATTAAAATCCAAACTTGTGTATTTGTGTGCGCGCACACGCATGCATGGTCTTCTTGGGAAAAAAGTAATTCGCTAAAAATGCCTTCCCCTCATAAGTTCTTTAAATCTGTGATGCTATGCATCCATTTACTCATTCCTCAAAATTGTTCTCTTCTGGCCTTCCTGGATGCAAAGTCATTTATAACCTCATCATATGAGATTTGGCTGCCTATCTGGTGATTGATGCTAATCATTGCCATTCCGCTCAGGCGTTCTTGACACATGGAGGACCTCAGGAAGGTTTTTATGAGTTTTAGCTTAGAGAAGCTTCTCTCTGCAGTTGCCACTGTCACTGGAAGAGTGCAGGCTATCCTCAGCGCTACCCAAAGATTTGGGTATAACTCACACAGCCCCCTTTCATGTATATGAATAAGTAGCTCCAACGCTGTCGTGACTTCTTTTGGAAGCTCTGGAAGGCTCTGCATCTCCATGGCTAGCTCTCTCCAATCAATATCTGCCTCTTCTCCGCAGGTGAGTGTTTTTCCGAGCTGGGCACATTGCTCTTTGAGTAACTCTTCATCTAGTTTGTGGAAGTTCAGGAGCACTCCGAATTTATCTTTTACTTCCCCCATTGACTTGAATCGGTCCTCCAAAGACTGGATGCTACAATCCACCACAACATTGAAAAATCCTATTTCCAGTCTCTTCATTGCAGTGATCACTACCTCGTCAGCTGCCTCATAGGTAAAGTGCTTCTTTGTACTTCGCAGCCTCTTCTCTTTCAGCACTGCCTCAACATTCATGTTTTCACAGAGCTCTTTTGCAGTGGTCTGAGCATCTACAAACCCAGTTGCCCTGTAGGTCTGTAGAGATGCTTTGGTTTTATTTATGAGATTTACTGCTATGTCCAGCTGCATGTTGACGGACTGAAGGAGTTTGCTAACTGTGTTAATTTTTGATAGAATGTCATACCAGACAACTGTGCAGATCTGGAACCTAAATGATCCAATTTCTTCTGCCAGGGACTGGGCCTCGATTCTAATCATAGGGTCATTTGTCTTTTCCCTCACCTCAAGCAAAGCTTCCCTGACTTTGACGGTGTGGTAGCGTAAAGGCTCAATGCTGTTAATTCGGCTCTCCCACCTTGTTTCACTCCAGGCCTTGACAGTGAGGTCCACATGATCTTTTAAGATGGCCCACCTCTGGGAAGCAGCTGCAAATAAGGTGTACAATTTCTGGACCACTCCGAAGAAGTTAGTAGCATCCACTGACCCCTTGGCTGAATCTGCCACCATCAGATTTAATGTGTGGGCTGCACAAGGTACATAGAGAGCTCGAGGATTCTTCTTCAACAGCCTGGCCTGTGTCCCTTTATTTCGGCCTTTCATGTTGGCACCATTGTCATAAGATTGTCCTCTGCAGTCCTCAAAGGGGATGTTCAGCTCCTCTAGCCTTCTTAGAATCAGTGTGGATAAGCCGAGTCCAGTTGATTCATGGGCTAATAGGAACCCCAGGAAGTGCTCTCTGATTTCTGGTGTGTTTTTTAGGTCGACTGTACGGATCACAACAGACATCTGCTCCTGGTAGCTGACATCTGGAGTGCAGTCCAAAATCAGGGAAAAATACTTTGACTCCTTGATTTGAACAACAATTGTACGGAGAATGGTGTCACTGATGCAAGCGATAAGCTCATTTTGTATTGTTTTCCCTAAGTATGTTGTGTGATTTGCTCCACTGTCAATACGTCGTACATGCTCTTTTAAAACCGGATCAAACTTCGCTAGTAATTCCACCTCTTTTAGGAAGTTACCATTATTGTTGGCATGTAACGTATCAACAGATCCTCTAAGACCCATGTTCCTCTCTGCTAGAGATTGTATGATTGACACAAGCCTAATGAGGACCTCTCTCCACCTGTTTCTCTCTGCCTCTAAGAGGGACAATTCAGTCTGATCTATTGTCTCCCCTTTTCGTAGACGGACTTCTAGCTCCTTCCAAGACAGCACATTTTTAGCATGATCGGGGCTGTTTTCATGTTGCTTAAGTAATGTGCCAATATTGATCCAGTCTTGTTGACCATCTGTACTGAGCTTTCCCAGCTAGCAAAAATTGTGCGGGCCGAGAGCGGCCCGATTAAGGCTAAAACACTCGGCCGATCCTCGGCATGAATCTAGGTCCGATTGCTCTGCGAGCACTCGGTTTTAACACGGTCCGATTAAGGCTTAAACACTCGGCCGAGCGCTCGGTTTTAATGCGGCCCGATTGCGGAACCCTGAGTGAGAGGACGTAACGCTCCCCTCCAATCCCGTTCCTTGTTTTGGCTTATTTAAACTATTGATTTTTCATTCATGTCAGGTTAATACTAAAATAGCTGAGCAGCCATTATTTATGCAAGATAAACTTAAATAAAACAGCACAAGACAGGTTTCATGTTTAATGCATTTTTTTATTGGACCACACTTCTCTCCCCTCTGATGAATGAAGGACACTACTTAAATTAACAAAGTCAGCTCATCACACACACGTCTGGTTCGCTATCTTTGTGGGGACTCTCCATAGGCATAATGATTTTTATACTGTACAAAATGTATATTCTGTCCCCTTACACTAACCCTACCCCTAAACCAACCCATCACAGGAGACATTCTGCATTTTTACATTTTCAAAAAAACATTACTTAGTATGATTTAAAAGCTGTTTTCCTCATGGGGACCACTGGCTGGTCCCCACAATGTAGGTGATCTCAGGTTTTACTATACTTGTGGGGATATTTGGTCCCCATGTAATATAAACAAGGGCACACACACATTAATAACAGATATTGAAATATCACAGCATTAATGTAAAATCAAGGAGTTCAAAATACTAATTTCCAATATCAAATTTGTAACTTTAAAACATTTAATCCCACTGCGTTTGAGGTCTATGTTGTCTGCCTGTTCGCCCTCTGGCTTCGGCCACCATCCCTATCAGAGGCTGCAGCCACCTGGTGATGAGGAGCTCTATTTCCTTTTCTGTAGAGTCTTTGGTCAGGGCATTCCGGCGGACTGCATCTGAGAAAAACACAAGATAGAAGAGGGCAGCATGACCATGTGATGTTACTCTGCAACCACCAAAACTTAATTTGGATGCAAGGCTCTCCTCTACACTTACATTTCTTTTTAATTTAAAAAGTTTAGGAGCACAGTCAAACATTTAGGAGCACCTGATGTGATCTGATCTGAAAAATGACAAATTAACCTTCCCATTATAAGGTGATTTATATTTGACGGGTTCGTACAGACTCTGTCATTATGAAATTCCAGGACTTTCAAGGACGTAAAGCACTACTTTTTTGGATTTCACGGACTTCAATCAGCACTTATCAAACAATATCTTATTTTTATTTATTTTATTTTTTTACTCAAATTACATATGGTATCTGATGTTTCACTTCATAGAGATCAATCCATTGACCAGCGCTGTCAGGCATGGGAAATTAGCCTGGCTGCGCCCTCCTACGCACTTCCGCTCAATTTCATTTTCCTTCAGTACTACGTCTGGGACTGCTGTATATTCTTAGGTTTCCAGAAATCAATTTTTTGTAGGACCAATCAGCGAACAGAGGGAGTGGCTGAGAACGATGATGGTTGACAAATGAAACTTTTGAGGAAAAATACAATACGGAGATGTTACATACAGCACAATTTTTAAGAAACAAACATCAAAATTCAAGACCTTTTAAAGTCTTTTTAAGGTATTATTTCCAAATTAATAAATTCAATGCTTTTAAGGCTTTTTAAGGCCCCGCGAGAACCCTGTTAGTTATTTAAGGAATATAGCATGAGTGAGAGTGGGGACTGACTTTTTTGGAATGATCTGATTAATGTATAAATTAACTCACCAGATTTTTCCTCTCCTCTGGATTCTTTAATGTCTCCTCCAAACATTGTAGCTCCTCAATAGTTGAAAGTGGCGGGAGCCCAAAATGTGTTGGGTCTGGCGTGAAGTCTGGAACTGCTTGACTGCTGGAGATTTTTTGGAAATGCACCAGGATGAGCAACTGCTGCTCTGATAGAATCGAGCTGAATGAGGATCTCCTTGGCAATTGCTGTAAGACAAGAAAAAGCAGGCATAGCAGATTAGTAGCAAAACATCATATGTAGATATGTCAGAGTAAACCGAGAAAGATCACTGTAGAATTCCTACCTGTAGGCACAGCCTCTCGAGAAGACCTGTTCTGTGTGTCATGTACTTGTGGGGTGTTCTAAAATAAAAAAGCCACAAATATGTTACAAGACATGTAAATTTACATTACAGTAAGATATTGCACGTTGTGCATTGGAAGCACTTATTTTAACAGATGTCTGTTTTGTATAGCTAACTCTGTAAAACAGAAAGCAAACTTTTATATATATATAAATATATATATATATATATTTTATTCATTTTTACAGAAGTTGTAACGTTAGCATATTCCTTTTGTAAAGCTACAGAACATGTTTGATTCATCAATGTTTTGTAAGTTTGAGCCATGTGTTTATTAAGGTATGAAATAAAACTGAAAACTGAAATAAATATTCCCAGCACTATCTGTGATGTAGTATGCTTGCTTAGCATAGGAAGTAATAAGAAATTACTCTTTACATTAAGGGAGATTAAGTGAGAACAGGGTGTTTGGGGAATCACTTTTTTTCATCGCATGCAATTGCATAAATATTCCGTCGCATTTTTTAAGAAAACGTGCCGCATAATTAAGGATTTTTGCCCGCAACAAATCACAAAAAAACTCTGCATTTTTCTGGAAGGACAGGTTAAATGTTACTATAGTGCATACGTTACTTCAGTTTGCACCATAAAACTACAACTATAGGCCAATTCACACCGCACAGACAAACGCCAGCAAACATGTTATGAAAAATAAGCCAACAGCCACCGACAAATTCGAGCACCCACGGAAAAACACGAGATATTGCCCATTCATTTTAACCAATACAAGTAAAAGATTGCAGCTTTCAGACACGACTTTCTTCTCGATATTGTTAAATGTCGAAAGTGCATCTGTTACAGGCCCCGCGCAAAAGGCCATTAAATGCATTTCACGACCACGTCATGTCACAGCGTTCACAAAATGGCGGACGGTCTGCACATATTCAATATCTTCACAACCCAGAACATTAATACACAAAATATTTGCAGCATGAACATACATCGGAATTACAGGACTCGTCTGCATATTAAGTTGTTATCATACCTGTAAAAACAGGAGCAAACGTGTCAGAGTAATCATACTGCGAGGGCGCCGGCGCAATACTGCTCCTCTATAAGAGTCCTCAGTTCATTTTCATAATAAGAGTCCCTAACTCACTCAGCAACAGACAATGACCCAGCTTTCAGCATGACTTATACCAAAGTCTCACATCATTCCTCTATTACAATTTACATAAGTAAAATAAACATTTTCTTACAGGATCAAAATGTGTATACTTTTTGACAATGTTTGTTGCCAGTCTGTGCGGTGGGCCTTAATCCAGCTAAAATTTTGTTCCACTTTATTTTCTTCCACAGATCAAAGACTGTGCTCGTAAATATTATTCACGTAAATTGCATTCAATAAAAATGGCGTCTAATGTACTAATTCTGGCTGCAAAGAAGAGCTAACAGCCCAGCTAACGTTAGTCAATGTTAGCTTCGTTCGCGCCATAAAAATCGGAGCCACTTTCATATTAACCTAACTTGCACTACTTAGACATGGTAAACAATTATTGTCCTAATTAATAATTCTTAACTGAATTCGGAATTCTTTCTTTTCGTTTCATCTGGAGGGAAGCATGTCAAAGGACCACGAACAAAGTTTAAACGGATCGATAATAATCAACATTTAATCAGCAACAGTTCGAAATGTAGAGTTAATATAAGAAGTTAAGGGAACTCGATTGAACCTATGCTCGGCGTGAAATGTTGATGCTTGAAATTGAACACAAGACTTACCTCAAATTCACCGTAATGGCGCAGAATCGAGAAGGGATGATTCCAAGTCAGGCGTGGAGTTTTATTTCACCCAAAGTTGTGCACACGTCACTCCAGTGATGAGCTGAGCATGCGTGCTGGCGCTTGCTGCAGTAACTAACCGTTGAAATCGGCTTCATACTGGTAAACGGGTCTGAGCCGACCGAGCGCCCAGAGTTTACAGCCGTCGACCGCTGTCAATGGTGGTAAATATTTGAAATAGGCAATAAAATGAAGTGACTTTGCCTAATTGCGGTTGCCACTACTCAGCCAATGCCGCGACTGCGATCACCATGACTGCTGTGCGAGTGATGTCACCTAGCGCGCATGCATGTTTAAAATACATAAAGTAAAGAATGATCTTCATGACAACTAAATATTTTTGGTATGGTTATAAATATTAAAGAATGCTCTGTGTAAAACGACACTATTATTATTATTATTACTGCAAAAAATATTAATATTTTGTTTTGGACAAGCATCAGATACGGTCAGGAATTTACGTCAATTTTAAAATATTTTTTATGTTAATTATTGCTTCATTAAAACCATCATTGATTTAATCTGAGTCATTTCCAGAAGTGGTCCAGATCATACAGGCAGAGCCGGGTTACCAGTTATGGTGAACATGAATCGGCCCAGTGCTTTACAGCCGTAACAAAAATGCATGTGCCAGAGCGAGCTGCGGGCCACACTCGGCCCGGTTAACACACGCCGATGCCGAGTCTGAGCCGCAGGCGCCGCGGGGCAGCCGAGCTCGGGCCGATTATACATGCTATCTGGGTTGTTGATTTTTTTGAAAACAATTTACAACAAAAACAGTAGACAGCATTATTTGGTAACGCTTTAGATTACAGCCCGGAAAGTACTGCGTAATTAAAGCAATTTTACAGCGTAACCTTGGGTAATTATAGTGTACCTATAACGTACTTACAATATAAGTATAAAGGAACAATATTTTAAGTTTGGGGAATAAAGGAGTAATAACCAGGAGAATTAAAAAAATATTTATACTGTAAGTATTATAGAACTGAGGGGTTCTTCTTCTACTATTATAGCCGCGTTTCCACCGCAGGAACTTTCCCCAGGAACT